AGGAGGACTTAGCTGAGTTCGACGTGGAGTTCACCTATAGAACGGGATCCAGCAATAGAGTTGCCGATGCCCTGAGTAGGCGGGCCGATCTTGCTGCGATGTACAAGTTAGCGCCAATGACGGCAAGCAGCATTGCCACATCCGTTAGAGATCAAGTTCGTGCTTATCTCCCAGATGATCCGATGACAAAAACCATAACAAGGATGATTGAAGAAGGGAAGACTAGACGCTTTTGGTTGGAAGATGGCCTCATCTTCACCAAAGGTACAAAGCTGTTCATCCCCAAAGCAGGGGGATTGAGGAAAATGTTGTTGAAGGAATGCCATGATACGCTGTGGGCGGGACATCCAGGTTGGCAGAGAACCCTCAGTCTACTCGCGATGGGGTACTACTGGCCAGGAATGAAGGAAGATGTGATGAGCTACACCAAAACCTGCCTTGTGTGCCAGCAAGACAAGGTTGACAGACAGAAGCCCGGGGGCTTCCTTGAACCTCTTCCTGTACCAACTCGACCGTGGGAGAGTGTGTCGATGGACTTCATTAGTGGCCTCCCGAAGGTTGGCCAGTTCTCTTCTATCATGGTGGTGATAGACAGGTTCTCAAAATACGCAACGTTTGTACCCTTGCAGAAGGCTTGCGGAGCAGAAGAAACGGCATCTCTCTTCTTTAAGCATATTGTGAAGTACTGGGGATTGCCAAAGAGCATAGTAAGCGACAGGGATACCAGATTCACGAGCATATTCTGGTCTGAGCTATTCCAAATGATGGGGTCTGACCTCAACATGTCGTCAAGCCACCACCCTCAATCTGATGGGCAGACAGAGAGATTCAATGGGCTTCTCGAGGAATACTTACGTCACTTTGTGAGCGCCAACCAGAAAGATTGGGTGAGACTCTTGGACGTCGCACAACTTTGCTTCAACGCTCAAAGGAGTTCTTCATCCAACAAAAGCCCCTTTGAGTTGGTCATGGGTCAACAACCTCTCCTCCCGCACACAGTGGCTGACTGGGAGGGCGGTAGGAGTGCTCAGGCTCGAGATTTTACAAGAGAGTGGAAGCAAAACACCGACATTGCAAAAGCCTACCTAGAGCGAGCATCGCGCCGGATGAAGAAATGGGCTGATCAAAACAGAAGGCCAGTTGATTTTGCTATTGGGGACATGGTGATGGTGAAGGTCTTACCAGAACAGCTGAAGTTTCTCAGAGGGAGAGATCGTCGCCTCATTCGGAAATATGAAGGCCCCATCCGCATCACTAAACGGATTGGGAAGAACGCATACAAGGTAGAACCGCCTGCGTGGATGAGGATTCACCCCGTCTTCCACGTTAGTCGTCTAAAACCCTACCATCCAGATCCCGACGACAGCAACCGCAACGTCAGCTACCGCGCCAACATCAGAACCAGGACAAGAGCCACCCCTACAACAGAAGACTGAAGCTGCTAAGATCTTAGTGTAGATTTTGTAAGTCGACGAGGACGTCGACGACTTAAGTGGGGGAGGATGTTAGAATCCAACCTCTTTGTTATGTATTCTTCTTTATTTTCCTTATATTTTCCTTATGTAATGTCTCTTTAGTCTTTCTTTTTATTTTTCTAGACCCTAGGGAGAATTATTGTGTTACTGTCATTTCAACGTTCACTTGTAATTCTCTACTAATGCAATATAAAGCTCTTTAGGGAGCGAATGGTTATTCAATCAAAGCTCTCTACCCCGTTGTTATTGCTTTAAGACTTGTGTGTTGTTTAAGCCTTTATAGATATTGTGCTTGCCTTGTTTTAAAGCATCCCCCACCAAACCAAGAGACCCTAGAGACGTCCTCATTTTCGTCGGTTCCGCTTGTGCCCGCTTCGAAGTATCGGCCGTCACAAGCCCCGACTCCGCACTCGTTGTTCTCGTGCGCCCTCTTGAGACACCGTAGGTCCGTGTTGCTGTGTGCTCACGAACCTCCTTGCTTTAGGCTTGCGCCCTTGTCGCCAAAAGACGAGAGCGCGCCGCACGATCTGGTGTTGAATCACTCGGACCGTGACACCATGACACCTGGGATAACCGGCCACCTAGGCCCAACTTCCGAGGGAAGCCCAATCAGCCCAAGGTTAACCTAAACCTAGATTGGCACGTTTCCCGAGGTTATAAATACCTCCCTTAATCCTCATTAAGGGGGATTACACATTAATTACAGAGATAATAGGCTGATCACGCTAACGAAGCAGATTACGCTAAAAACTCGCATTAAACACTCTCACCTAGAGAGACCCAATCACTTTAATTTCCGCATTAATTACTCCTTAATCAAGTACTAACTTGACCGTCGGAGGCGGAGCTCCCGTCACCAAGAGTCTCCGTTATTTTGCAGGTACAGGCGTCCGGTTCCAGTCTCGGAATTGTAACTCTCCCGCAGGACATCAGAAAACCCCGAAACAGGTTCTGTTTCATATTTTTGTAAAATCTAAAAACGGACTGCGTGCCTTTAAGTATTTTTGTACTTTAATTATTTAGATTAGTCCAAGTCTTTCATGTTGCATAATTGGTGGTGATGTCAAAGATGGAGTTTCTAAAAGACGAAGCCAAGAAGATGTAATGAAGGCCCTTGATGATTTGAAGATTCAAGTTTCAAGGGGTCATGCTAGTTGCCAAATGCATCTTTATTTATCCCTTATATATTTTTGCTTATATATAATTGCGATATTAGATGCATACTAAGGATTTCGAATGTTGAATGATAAGTTTAGTTCACTTAAATAAACCAACATAGAAACCCTAAGTCCTAAAGAATATTGAGTTATATTGCCATTCCAAAATGACACTGACGGAACTAATGTGAATAGTAATGGGCTATGCTAAAGCAAGGTATTACTACTTTCCTAGGGAAGTAAGGTATGTTGATGGGTTTGCCAAAGCAACACATCATATACACGTTAGTTTTGGTTAAACTCAATGATATCAGTAAGGAGTCCTTAGATGTCGTGGCAATGGAGATAAACGTCATGAAAGCATTAGATACGACGTTTTATCGAACTGAGAATAGCTTATAGCTATTAGCAATTAGATTGTTTACCTTAAAATATTAAGTGTTAAGACAAGCCAAAGCATGCTAAATCACCTTTTGATTTTTGGGGTCTTGGAATCGTTTTATTTTCGCCTAAAAAGGGACAAATTTTAAAAGTGTGGATAAAACGCTTAATAAGATTGAAAGTTTGCATGTATGCTTTAAATTTCAAACTTATCGTGTTGTCTTGATAAATGGTTATACTTTGCACTTATATTAGTATAACTCTAAATCAAATTATAATGTTTCCAACGATTGGTAAAAGAAATTTTTTGAGAATGGTTCTCAAAGAAAAGAAGAGGCATTTCTAAAATACAGCTTCTCATAAATACTTTTATGATTAAGTCTGAAAGGACGGTTAGACATCATGTATTCAACATACTAGGTAGTTTTGATAAACATGAAATGTTGAGTTGAAAAATCAAAATTGTCAATAGTTGACAACCAACATATCTTTTTGCTTTATACACTAATGAGTAGGACTCGTTAATGTAGTAATTCAAGTACGAATTAAAGGAAAATAACTTTGTATTACGGCGCATTAATGCTTAATTATGCCTAACAAAGTATAAAATTCAAAGCACTTAAAGAAGTAGTTCTTAAAGTTATGAGATGATGTATGATAAGAAATATAGGAAACAAGGAACAAAGAAAAGGAATAAGATTCCATTTCTACCCATGAGTTCATGTTATTGTAGTTAACTTAGCAACTTATCTTCACAAGTATAGAATACTGCTTGAGTGTTCCGATTTGAAGTGACCTCAAACCATTGAATTTAAGCTAAGTTATTGACTTACGAGCTTGGAATTAAGCAAGAAGGTGCTACCTCAGCTGTAAAGTCATTTGCTTTGTTTAAAGACCTTTTAAAGCTAAGGCTGGAACAAATAATGGTTATTGTGTTCCATTATCAGCAAACGTTCTGTTTACACAAGGAAAGACTCACATTCAAAGTAAAAGAACAAAAGTTGTTAGTTTTATTTGAATGGCATGGTTGTTTAAGCCATGAGTCAAGGATGCTAAAAGTAATGGACTTGATTTGTGTTCTGACTATCTTTAGCAATGTTACATCGACAAGAACATACTCAAGGCTCTATTAGATAGACTCTTAATAGTTGATCGATTCGAAATCGTTCTAAGGCAAGCAAGTCTTACTTGTTGAAACCGACAAAGATAGGAGCTATTATGTTTGGTATAGACAATTGACTCCGAAAGCTAAAGAGGATTCCATTACACTAGTAGAAAAATGAAATAGGCACCGCAAAATGCGGACCGGTTTTTAAAAACCGGTACAAAAAAAAATAGGCGGGATTGAGGGGAAGACTTTTCGCACCGGTTCTAACCAAATCGGTGCGAAAAATGAGTATTCCATTACACTATGTTGAAAAAAATGAAATAGGCACCGCAAAATGCGTACCGGTTTTTAAAAACCGGTGCCAAAAAAATAGGCTGGATTGAGGGGAAGACTTTTCGCACCGGTTCTAACCAAATCGGTGCGAAAAATGAGTTAAACCGGTTTGGTTCGAACCGGTGCAAAAGCTATTGTAAAAAAAAAAAAAATCCCGGCCATTTTTATCTTCTTTCTTACTCTTTTTGTCTTCTTTCTTTCTCTTTCCTCGATCTCTCCTCCTTTCAACAATGGAAACCCTAAATTCCTTCTCTCTCCTTCGATCTCCTTCTCTTTCCTCACACTGAAAAAAAACCCTAAAGCTCCTTTGCTTTGCAATTAGCCGTTGTCACTCTTATTCCCCACAGAGAGCCTCTCATCTTCTTCTAGCCCACCATAGAAGCGTGCACTCTACATTCACCATTGATGTTTCCTCGCGTCCTCCTCCTTTGCCAGTTCGATTCTTCTACAATCGATTATTGAACACTATTGGTTATAATTGAAGCTGATGATGCTAGGTAAGATATTTCTCTTTGTAATCATCGAAAATCAATTTAGAAGTTTTTTTAGTTTGAATGTTGTAAATGATGATTGTTTGAGTTGATTTAACGTTATTTTTTCAAATTTATATAGTTTTGAGTTGATTTAAGTTTCTGGGTAATGGTTTTTTGGATAGTTTGTGCTGAATTTTTGCGGATTCAGAGATAATTTTTTTTTCACGATCTGAAGTTTTCGATTTTATTCTAATTCTAATATCGATTTTCATTTTAATCCTCAATCATTTTAGCTTTTAATCGTTTTCATGTTTAGTTTTGTTTTTAATTTTCAATTATATTAGATCTAATTTTTCTGATTTTCAATTGAAAATTAATCTAAAGTTTCTGTTTGGTGCGATTTGTTCTGATTTTGTGCGTTGATGGTGTGGTTGTGGGTGTTTGGTGCGGTTGCTTTGATTTTGTGCGCCAATGGTGGAAGGCTGGAAGCGTTGCTGTAATGGTGGCAGGTTAGTTTGTATTTCTTCATTTTTTTATATTTAGTTTGTTTAATTGGATGGTTAGAAGTTTAGAACATATACGATGTGTAAGCTGTGCTTGATTGCGAGGGCTGTTCTCTGTTTTTGAAACACTAGTTTAGTTGTTTCTCTGAGTTTCGTCAATTTGATGTAGGCTGCGAATGTCATATGCTCCTAGATCTTGAGTTTTTGTTTTTGGTGGAATTGAAGTGTGATTGCTGTTAATTTGTGTGTTTATTTTGAGGAATTGAACTATATAGCTGATATTATTTGAAAATTTTGATCCTTCAACTTGTTAATTGTATTAAAATTCTGACCATTGATTTGGAAAACGATGATTATTCTTATGTAATTGAGTTGTTTTCTGTCAAATTTTGGAAATATGAAGTTTTTCTATGTGGGTATTTCTGGTGTTGATGGAATTTCGACTAGGTTGCTGCAAGATTTTGGTTTTTTTAGGGAGGGTATTGGTGGTAGGGAAGGGGTTCTATATTTTGATTATGTGGGGATTTGCGATTGAGGAAGCGGTGTTTCGGGTTGCTGGCATTGTTTGGAACAGTATGAGAATTCTTCTCTGTTGGTGATGTTGGTACTATTGATGAACTTGAGTTGATCTTGTGGAGTTGTGGGTGCTCTCGATTGTTAGGATTGAACTTGCTTGTTGGCTGGCTGTGTAATGTATTTTTTGAGTTTTTTTTTTTTTTTTTTTTTTTTTTTTTTTGTTTTTTTCCTTTATCTTCTGACAATGTGGGCAGTTCTAATATTGATGGTATTGAACTGGGTGTGAGCAGTTTTGGCTGGAAACCGACAAGGCGACTTATCTGCTCAGGCAGTATTTCTTCAATAATCTCCTTGATCAGCTCAGTACAAGGCCTTTTCTTAGCCTAATTGAGAAGAAATGGCTTGCTTTTCAGGTTTTGCTGTAGTTTTTTCCTACTCTACATCTTTGTATGTCCTTTTAGAATTGGATTGATTGATCACTTTGGCATCTCAAATTCTTGCTTTCAGCTTTTGTGTGCATTGAAGCAGAGTCACGAGCATGATATTTGTCATGGTAAGTGACTGCATTGTGGTAATTTGCGTTTTGTCTTTTATGGGTTTACATTGTGTATAATTTGGTGTTTGGTTTTTCATTTTGGAGGTGATATTAAGTGTGAGAATGTGCTGGTTACTTCTTGGAATTGGGTTTACCTGGCTGACTTTGCATCTTTTAAACCAACCTATATTCCTGATGACGATCCATCTGATTTCTCATTTTTCTTTGATACTGGGGGAAGAAGGCTCTGTTATCTCGCACTTGAGGTAGGTTATTGTTGCTGTAATCTTCTTTACATGTTTATTGTTAATAATATTATAACTATTCCCTGTGCTCTCATCAGCTACTTGCTGCTATATTGAAACTTGGAAGAACTGTGGCTGTTTTTTTTTATCACTTTTTGAATGCAGCATCTGAATATAGCAGTTTAATAATTTCTAATTATAGATGACAAATTTCTATGGAAATTCTGTACTTAAAACCATTTTTCAAATTACTCTAAATTTTAATCTCAAAATCAACCATGAAGTGCACAATTTCTCTTGAAATAACCTATTATCCAAAGGCAATAAATTCTGCTGCTATGGTTGAATTTATAAAGTTGGTGCTGACCTAATATTACAAATTTAAGAAAGTTTTGATATATGTGGGCAATTTTTCAGTTAAAAAGAGATATTTTTTAGGTGTATAAATTTGAATAAGTACACCAAGGTTACCGTAGGTAATATACCCCAAAAAATAATGTCGGGTCTTGCTAGTTGAGAGTTCATGAATTTTTACTCATCCTAATATGGTTGCTCGGAAAAGGAAATATGTCACATCCAAGTATGCAACTTAAACTATGCATTGGAGATTGACATAGGTGCATTGGAGACAAGTTTCGAAACCATTCTAGTGTGGCAATTGAGCCTTATTTCGAAGTTTCGAACCAATTGGTTATGTTATTGCTCCTTCACGATAACCCAGTATACACTTTGTTTTTTTTTTTTTCAATGAAATCTTGCACCCATATACTGACCTGTCTTTGGGATTAAAGCTTTGATTGTTATTGTCGTTGTTGTGATCACGTACCCACAATCTCTATTGTCATATATTACAGAGATTTTATGAGCATGGAGATGATATGCCAGTCGCGCCTGATGCACCGCTTAAGCCATCTATGGACATCTTTGCAGTAGGGTGAGTGTTTATTATGTATGTAGTATCTTTTACTAGCCAAGTGCAGGCGTGAGTTTGTTTTGATTTTATAAAGATTGGATATTTCAATAACTTGAGTTGGTTTGAGAAGTTTGTAAAGTATTTTTTTCTTGCTTAATATCCACGAAGACACGAAATATTTGTTTTTTGTAGAAACGCTTTTTAATTGTATTTGTTCCTTTAATTTTCATGTTTCTTCATGATAATTTTTTGATCATTTTTTTTAAAATAATTGCTTTCTTTATTTTTAGTTGCGTGATAGCAGAGCTTTTCCTTGAGGGCCATCCACTATTTGAACTTTCGCAGCTGCTTGCTTACCGAAGAGGGCAATATGATCCTAGTCAGCATCTTGAGAAGGTACTGCATCTAAATGCGTCTTGAAATACAAGCGAGATTGGCTTTTAAATTCTATTAAATGTCTACCATCATTTCAGATCCCTGATCTAGGAGTACGGAAGATGATTCTTCACATGATCCAGCAGGCAACAGAACAGCAGCTATAGAGCAAGCAGCTGACAGCAGCTAACAAAGCAGAGAACAAAACAATAGCAGCAAAAGTCATAACAACAGCAAGCAAAAGCAGAACAACAAGAGCAGTGCAGACAGAAGACACATAGCAGCCAGAACACCTTGACACACTGCATGCAACATAACAGGCAGGCAGAAGCAGAGACAAGCTAGCAGCATGCAGCACAGAAACCAGCAGCCTGAACCAGCACACACCAGCCAGAGCCAAAGCAGCCAGAAACAGAAAAAAAATGAAAATATGTAACTTTATATATATGTTAGTGTTTCTATATCAATTTAAGTGAAAAAAATGCAAAAAACTTTTTTTTTATTTTTTTAATTTTTTTGGGGCATTTTTAGCACCAGTTTTGAAATAGAACCGGTGCTAAAAGTTTTTTGTTTAATTTTTTGGGCCACTTTTCGCACCGGTTCACAGCAAGAACCGGTGCTAAAAGTTTATATTTTATTTTTTTTGGGCCGTTTTTCGCACCGGTTCACAGCAAGAACCGGTGCGAAATCTAAGTTTTCGCACCGATTTTGAACCGGTGCGAAATCTTTTGGTTTTTGGCATCCCTCAAATAAGGACCGGTTCAAAACCGGTGCGAAATGGGGGTTTTGAACCGGTGCCCATTTGTATTTTTCGCTTAGTGTAACTTCAACGTTTTCACATGAATTTAAAGAATATGGCTATATTCAACAAATGTGAAAAAACTGGATCTTGAGTTGATCAAAAGTTCAGTGAAGTATGGAATCAACTTGGCAAGATATCAAAACGTCTAGATTAGATCGAGCGATGTTTGCTTGAGCCAAGAGTGATCATATCAAGGTTATGAAATTAGAATTTCATAAATAGCTCCACAAAGAATATAGTATGTCTTGACAGAGACCTCGAGGCCATTTGAAAATGACTCTAACGATGATAGATCACATCCCTTCCTATAAAATTCTTACAGATTTGCACAAATAACTACTCTTACACTAAACAAAATTGTCGAAGCTAAAAAAGGACACCATATTCAATTATGGATAGAAATAGTTTCTAATGTCTTTTCAAATATATGTCTAAGGCTTTTAGCCTTAGTGGGAGTTCATTGGCTCGGTGGGAGCTAAGTGGCTCAAAGGGCTAAGGTAGCTCAAGTGGGAGCTAACTGTTTGTTTTACAACGAACTTTTACCTAAAGACAATATACATGTCTCTTTGTAAGCATTCAAGTGAGACTACGGGCATTACTTCCACAACTTAATTGAGAACATAATATTTGTTGCTCTAAGTGGTGTCTTTTTGAAAAGTAACACATTTCCAAGGAGACAAGTGGGAGGAAAATGAACTCGATGACCATCGAGATTAGCAACAAACTAGAATTGAGAATCTCGGAAGACTTTAGAAGGGCTTCATAAGAATAATTGATCAACAATACTCAAGGACTTTACAAGTGCCTTAAGAGAGAATTCATTACTCACTAAAACTTCAGAAGTGTTGGAGTAAGATCAATATAATTAAAGGGCTTTAGAAGCGCCTTGAAACTCAGTGTTTGATGCAATTACTCCTTATAGGTATGGAATTCACCAAAGGTTTGGATTGAATCCTATAAATTTCTATTAAGTTAGAATTAAACCTAAAACTTACAAGCATACTATATACTATTAGATAGTAATGGAATAATGTCTTATAAAATAGCTACGACAAATTCAAATTCCGATAGATGGTTAGAGACCATAAATCCAAAATAGACTCCATATTTGAAAATCAGGTTTGGAACTTGATTAATTTGCATAAAGGGTAAAGACCCATCGATTGCAAATAAGTTTTCAAGCAGAAAACTACCAAATATGGAAATGTATATGAATACATAGCTAGATTGGTTGAAAAGGATAAAATTAAATTCACGGCGTTGATTTTAATAAAAACCTATTCACCAATCAGAACGCTTAAGTCCTTTCGTGATTATTCAAGCAAAATTGCGTATATGAAATATGGCAAAATAGATATCAAAACCACCTTCCCAAAATGGAATTTTGGAAGAGACTATGGATATAGTCTAAGGGTTTTGTAAATCAAAATAATGCTAGATTTGATTGTAGGAATTAAAATGTGTTTTCTCATAAAGTTAATAGAAGGATTGACTTATTGAGAAACATAAGAAATTCTTTTAGATAAGAAGTTTAGTGGGAGCAAAAGTCAATTTTGTAAAGGTCCAACAAGAAGTTTACAAACTCTATTATGAAATGACTATCACATGCTAAATGCTAAGATTTGAAAGTATATTTCAATAATGGACCAAGCTAAGACGATACTTAGTACATAGTGGGAATTAAGATCTATTGTATAGACTTAATTCAACGTTTGAACGAGTAAAGGAATTTATTGTTTCAAACGTGAAGGACTTGGAAAGGCTTTCGACCTCTATGCATACGACTAAGTAAACGTTTGAACTAAGTATAAGCTAGGAATATATTAAGTCAAACAAGAAAGACTCAATTAGAGACTTTCAACCGTATCATATAGCAAACAGTTTAACAAGACTTAGTGAAACTGGATGAGCTAAAAGTCACATGAATGGGATCAAATTGGAATAATTTTGCAATTAGATCCATCTTGTATGCTACGATATGGAATCATCACATGACTTGCATGCATAGACCATGAGAAGTATAAAAGTACCAATCGACTTGAATCTAAGTAATGGATCGTTAGATTATGAACAAGAACATCCAAAGTACTTGGTTAAGTAAGAGGATGAGTTCTTGATACATGGAAACAAATATAATTTGAGTATTGATGTTGTGAGCACAACCTTAGCAAGGATTAGATCCTTAATGAGGAAGCCAGCTATAAGCACGAGCTTAAATGCGTCGTGGCTTGAGAATGGCAACATGAACTTATGTCCATGAGCATCGTGCAGAAATTTAAGGTAAATTTCCATAATCACAAATGATCCCAAATCATTGTGAAATGGTTGGAGTAAGATCCAAGCAAACATTATTAGGATGTCTATTGAAATATATGTTGAGAACATTGTTGCCTTAAAAGCAATAATAAGGAAGTTGTTCAATGGATAGTTCGTTGTTGAACTTTGTTGATTGTACGTTGTCAAGTTAAAGATCTCAAATCATGAAAATGAGTGGGAGCCATCACTTGGACAATAAATCCTAAATCATAAATAATCCATAACACACTCGAATTTTATCATCTTATTATGAAAGTGTTCGATAATGAAGATGCTAAGACTTGCAAAGTAATGATAACTAAACCTATGCAATAAGTGAATCACAACATTCACGATTGCATAAAGGAAATCAAGCATATTAAATATAGGAGTGATTTCTATATATATTTTGTAAAGAGTATTACTCTTAAAACATTTGGAAAAACCATTTATCATAAGATGAAACATTGAAAAGTTTCATAGTGGAATAAAATTTTACTAAATATTCCATGAACCATTTAATTGTGGTTTAGAATTAAATAATGAGTCCATTCGATTTTTCGATATTCAAAATAGGGTATCAAGACAATGTCTTGGATAAGGAAACACCTATTAAGTGAACATTGAATATCGTATCAAAATTATCCCTAATCGAGGTCATTTGAAAGGTGGACGACTAATGACCGCGCGAGATTAGTATGTAGTATGATTTATAGCACCGTTTCTTGTGCTACAAGGACATGAATGTCATAAATCATTTGCACAGGTATTAGTTTGGAACTATACTAGATCGACCTATGAGAATACTTTAAGAGATTTAACAATCGTCATAAGTATATTACTCATTATGATCGGAACCTCTTTCCTCAACCATGAGTATTGTAAGTTCTTGATGAGTCTATTTTATTTATATTTTTATTCCCCGTCCCACGGTCATATTTGTGCTTATTTGAGCTCTGCGGAGCTATTTTATTACTAATATACGTTTTTTAGTGTTTTTGTAGAGTTGGTTTTATTTTGTAGGAATTTGCTGATTTATGACAATTTTCGAGCTTATTGAGCCACTACAATGATATTGGAGTCGGATCGTATTTTATGACCGTATATACGAAGTCCAAGATTGAGCTAATTAAATTTGGTTCGGTGATTAAGGGCTCGGTTCGTTTGGAGTACTAATTTTATTGCATGTCAATAATTGGATATCAAGAAGAAGAAATCTGGCCAATTCATATAAAAGCCCAAGTTAGAAATCCAAGATGCAAAGAACCAGCTGGGCAAAATTGATCGGGCCCAATTGGGCGATTTAATGCCCGATTGAATGAGCCATCTTTGATATTATTCTGCGATATGTTAAGTCGGTCTTTGTAGTTTTTTTGGGTTATATAAATCCGTATATTGGGGAACAAGGGACAGCTTTAGATTTTATTTTTTGAGTTTCCTTTGATAATTAAGTTTACAGAGGACTTTTAGATTGCCTTTTCCGTTTTTCTGAGGAGTAGTTCTTTACGTGGGTTTTAGGATTAGTTAGCTTATTTTCATAGATTAATGTTCTTAGATTATTAGTTTAACTTGAGTCAGACTAATTAGTTTGCTTTGGTTTTGTTATTTCCATTACGTACGTTGTTTTCTTAATTTCCGATCTTTGATTTTTCTTTATGCTTTACCTTGTGTTAACTTCAGTTTAATTTTATTACTTTATTATTGCTTTCATTATTCTTGCTTTAAATATGTTTAATTTAATTTCTTTTATTAGTTTAGATTTAATTATGTACAAGTAGTTTTATTCTAGGGTTTTGGGGATCCATGAATAATATGAAGGGGTAATTTATTGTTGTTGATTATTAATGATTGATTAATTTCCTATTGATTGATTTAATACTATGCAATTAGATTAGGCCTGGGTTAATTGTATGAGTTTTGCAATATTGATTCGAGATTCAAGAGATGAGAATTGATATTTAGGCTTAGTTTCAATAGGCATGTTAATCTATTAATGGTTAGGTCGAGATTCGAGAGATGAGATTTAATACCAGTAGATTAATTATGTGATTATAATACGTAGCGACAGCCCTTTATAGTCTGGTTAATTTATGCATTGATAATTGATCGTATGTTTTACCCTGAAGTATTATTTATTGGTGAACCTATACCCTAGAGCTTTTTATTATTGATTGCTTCCTTTGATTAATTTGCTTAGTTTTATTATCAGTTTAATTCATACAAATTTGGTTACTTGATAATTTAGACTATAATTGTTAATTAGGAATAGAAGAACATTGTTTCCCTGTGGATTCGACCTTACTTCCCTATCTACTTTAGTTAGAGGACTTAGGAATTACTTTTGATTAGGTGATACGACTTAAGCCTGTCAAAATTTGGCCTGGACAC